CAGAATCATAGTTTGCTCTTTCAACACAGTTCCATGTACAGCCATAATACTGACAGAGAAAGATATCTATAAATCAAAAAGATTCTAGATGAATGGAAGGTTGGTCAAGTTGCTTCTCCACAGATTTTGGATGGATATCATGTGGCTTACTTCATTATGTACCCATCAACATCAGCTCTAGTGAGCTTGCTGTACTCTGCAAAAGATATCCTGACCTGAAAAATTAACTTAATGATTCTTATTATATAAATGACAAACATAGGGAAAAAAGCTAGCTGAATTTTGCTGCTCCTAAAAAGCTAAACAGAGTTGAATTAGGCATATGTTTGTATAGGAGACCATTTGGAAATCCAAAGGCTTTAGTCTGAGAAGCTGAGAAAAAATAATAGACAAAAGCAGTGGCAAACTACTTCTATATTGCTTTCAAGAAGACTACACGGTTGTTTTCATATAGTCACTAGGAATTAAGCCCAACTCAAGAAAATGTGTACTTTATTGATGCACAAGAATGCAACCTTGTTATAAGAGATATACATAGTCAGAAATTATGAAACGGAGTCATAAATATTTTTTGCCTTCAGATTGACAACCTGCTTTGATTTATATGATTCTTCCCACAAGTGTGGCAGTGAAGATCAGATCAGAATCTCCCTTTTTTTAACTAATTGTAGTTTCTCAGAATATTCATATCTGAAAAATGTGGTTATCATTAAGGGAAACAAATGAACTTCGGATGAAATGGAAGCATATAAGCTAAGAATCATCTAGAGCAGCAGCCCCCAACCTTTTGGGTACCAGAGACCGGTTCCATGGGGAAAGGTTTTTCCACGGACTGGAGGGGGCGTGGTTTTGCATGCGGCCTTTATCCTATGGATGGGGCTTCACTTATTTGCATGCCTGGTTGCTAGCATGCCATGGACCAGTGCCGGTCTATGGACGGGGTTAGGGACCCCTGATCTAGAGAGATCACTACTTTGGCTGATTTTAGAAACTTGAGTAGGATTGAACTAGTACATATTTGGAAATGTAACCAGAAAATTCTAAATCAGTTTTTCTAGAAAGATTCTGGAAATAAATAATGGCAAACCACCACTCCTGTATTTTTACCAGAATGATTCCCTTAATAGTTCCATGGAGTCACCAGGGTTTGAGCTTGACTCATGAGGAGATTTTGCCTTCACTGTTGTGTACATCACACCAAAGTACTATTTATAGCGGGCATTATATCTAAGTTAACTATGCAAGCCTTTTAGGTAATGCCAAATGCTTTATGCAAAATGGCCTCTGAATGAGGGTATACAAAAACAACTAATATCTTATGCAGTGTTTCTATATTTAGAGATGCTCTCTCCTGTTGTCAAACTAATTAGTATGCAATCCCATTTTTCATTTCTTGTGCGTATATAGTTTGCAGTGTTGTTATTTGCTTTGTGCAGTTGCAACCATGGAGATATTTTATGTGTAATGCACCTTATTGTATTAAAATATAGATGCAGTAAACCAGGTTCAAAAATATATTCAGCACTAGGATTTTAATGGATGTTTTGTTTAATTTTGCTCTTGAGAGTTTGTCTAGTAATTCCAGTTACCGAAAGCTGTGGAAGAGGCTATAATAAACATGCAACTCACATACAGAGTTTTCTTCCAGTTTAGATAACTGCCAATCAAAGTTTTGTGACATGGTAAGTCTTATTGAGTGAATTATGGCTTCCTTATTAAAACATATCAATAGCATGATCTTAAAAAAAATCTGAGACCAATAAAAATACTTATCTATGAAAATAAGGTCCCTGTGATATAGCAAAAAAATGCTGTTTTATAGACATTAAACTGTGCTTGAGCATTTTAAAATATATTCAAATATTTTAACTGCATTTTAGAAGCCCAATAATCTCACCTATGATTTTCAAAATGGTTGCGACAATATCAAGCTGAGAAAATCAGCGTAGAATGGAATTGTTTTAAGTAGCTTGGATTTAGGCAAGTTTGGGCATAAATTTTAGAGGACTGGTTAAGTAAGAAACAAATACAAGTTTGGTTCTATCAGAGCTCCTTTTTGGCTGACAATGGCTTGTAGCAGCACATGCAAACTCTTGCTATAGAAAACTGAACAGCCTCACTGAGCTGTTTAATCCATAGTACATCCATTTTGAATAATAGTTTTGCTCATTGTAGCTCTCGGTCCTCTGCCCCTCAACATGTTAAGTGGAGTTAGTTATTTTGACTATTATTGACTGTGAGCTTGTATATATTTTCTTAAAAATAAGCCTTACATAGTTAGGGTACGGCTTGTTTCCAGGAGAGATTTTGAGGATTCTAATATTACTATTTCAATACTGCTCACATTCTGTCTCAATCATACCCTCACATAAATGAACTTGAAATATGCTCTTGAAAGGTTACATACTTGTTCAGCAGGGTTCAGAGTATTTTGTAAATGTGAAGTAATAAATTACGGTACAAAAAAGAGTGTCGTTTTTCACAGTTTGGAACATCTACGACTTCCTCTTCTTTTTACTTTAAGTTAAAGGTTTCTGCTAGTTTTGTCTGCCCTGAATTTTTAGCATTCTCAATCTCTTGATTTTTTTTTAGTGCAAATTGACTGATACTGTATTTTGAATAGAAGCTTGTGGAGCTGTTCAGAGGCAGGATGAAAGGAGGTTCTTTCAGTTCAGATTTTATTTATTCATAACATTTCACAGAAGAAGGGCATTCAGTGTTCTAACAGGTTGACTCCCCCCCCAATTAGATAGCTCTGCAAAACGGCCCCCTTGCCTCCAAAAGCAACACTTCTGCTGCTGTGTCCCTTTTGTTAGGGACATAGGTATTTAGGTAGGCTTCTGTTAGACTTACCTGGCATTTTTTGTGTATGTGTGACTAGCAGAAAGTTAATCAGCAACTTATCATTCAGTCATCTTTCTGCTTGGAATTTTGGAAAATGTGCACTGGGGGATGATATCATAAACCTTCTTGTTTTCCATGCATAGATAACACTCTGCTGAATCTTTGTGGATTATTTTCCATCTCACAGGAACGTAGATATCTTTAGCAACCTGAATGTGCCTAAATCCACTTTATTTGCTAGCCATATTTTCTCTCTCCTTCTTTGACTCCAACACGACCCTTCCTGTAACTCCTTTGGAGACTTTTATTTCCTTTTCCCTCTCTTGAGAGATGTATGTATGTATGAAAACCTTGTCTGTTTTCTCTCAGTTTCTTCCCATCCTTAAGTTTTCAGCTGCAAATATACTGTAGTTGTGTAGCTAGAAGATTATGTGACATAATGACAGTGTTATGCTGTTCCATTTTGTTACTTAAATTGTAACTAGCATGATCTTTGCCTTTACTTTCTGAAATCAATAAACAGGACTTCAGATCTGCATGGATAGTTGAGATCCGCAGCAGTCCATTAGCCCGTAATCGGAAATTTCTGTGTACATATTCATTGTCAAATACATACAATACAAGATTCACCTTATGAAGTAGTATTCCAAATGACAAACTGAAGTAGCAGTATCAGAACATAATTTCATATTTTGTTTTTTAAAAAGAAGTGTACAGATTTTGAAAGAAGAAGAAAATTACAAAGGCTCAGATTATCATCTTGGTCGTCATTCCAAAAGTATCACATTTAATTTTATTTCTTATGGAAAAAATATATTTCCAACTTTCATTATGTTCACAAGTTACTAGGCAGCTATACTACAAAACAGATAACATATTTTCAAGGACATCTCACAAAGGGGGAACATCCCTGTCTGAGGAACATAATCAGTGGTAAGATTCAAATATGTGAACAACCGGTTCTCTGTGTGGATGCCGCTTCCGGAAGTCCATTCTGGGTCCGGGCAACAAAAAATTAGCTACCGGTTCTGCCAAAGTGGTGCAAACCGGCTGGATCCCACCATTGAACATAATAGTAGTCAACATATTATTGCATAGTCCTTGAGAATTTTTATGTAAATTGGAATGGATAATAGTTATATGGGCAAGTATTAATTTTCAATATCAGCAATGAGGAAAAAAAAGCTTCTCTACAAGATTTTTCTATGTTTAATGTAAAATATTTTATATCCAACTGTATACATAAACATCAAACATTAGTTAAATGGATCTGATGAAATTTTATCAGTGGATGCTGTAAAGTCTATTGGTTCCTATATATGTATACACATTTCCTTGGGTATATTTGGTGGCACCAGCATATAGCCAGGTTACAAGAAATCAGTAGAATTTTTACACACGAACAAACTTTCATGTTGCATGAATTCAGAAATCATTCCTTTTTTTTTTTTTTTTACATATTCCACACAGTTAAAACAGGAGCCTACTTTTTCCAGAGTGACCAGGAAAAAACAAAATTAGGCGTGGAGTTGGAAATGACAAGTCAGTATTTGTTGTGTGTTTTAAGCAAGCACAAAACTAAAATAAATCCAGGCCTGTTCTAGATCTTGTGGAGAGATTTCCTCCAAATATTGGGGAAAGGGAAAGGATTTTAAGAATAATCTTTGGTGCCTATAGTCCCCACCGGTGGCATAGTTGAGTATTTTAAACTGTAATCTAATGATAGACTACTCCATGGTGGTCACTTTTACTATGAGGAATGGATTAGTTTGTAGATGTCTTCACTTGGGAGGAATGGAGAATAATCCAGTAAGTCACGTGATCTAAATTTCCTTTACATATTTTGATAAACATATTTAACTGAATGCAATAAGGAAGCAGGTGAATAGAGAAAAGAAATACTTCATACTAGATATTTAAAAAGTTTTACTTCAGACAGGGATAGCATCCAGCAGTTACTGCTACCACATGAAACTGTCAGTAGAATGAAGTCCTTTTACCTTTGTGAGGCTGTCTCAACAAATTAATCGGTCCTCTATTTATTATAAAGTTCTGTTTTGATGCGCCAAAATATTGCTGTTAATTTCTGAGAACTGACAAACATATACTATACTGTATATGTTCAGGTATAAAAATATTTCTGTCTTACCCTCTAGGCATGCCTTCAGTCAGGTTGAATACACAAAATCTCACGATTGTTGAAGGCAAAACTATCACTTTATACTGTGAAGCCACAGGAAGTCCATCACCAACGATAATTTGGCTTTTCAGTAATATTGTTTCAAAACATGAGGTAAGATTTTAATATTAAAGTATGTGTATTAGCAATGGCAAAACTCAAGTTTTGTGCAGGCATTAATTTATCTTGGATGGTGGGAGAGGCTACATTTCATCTTCTTTAAGAACATAAGGAAGGTTGGGGTTGGACCTAACTCTGGAGAATGGGTTGGGAGAGACAATTGGCCATGGAAAGCAACTGGCAACTAAGCAGCCCATTTAAAATAGGTGTCATTCTGCAGTAGTGGAAGTGTTCTGCTAAGAGTCTTGGCACTGCATTTTATACTAACCCATGTAGACTACCTTACAATAGTCCAACGAATGGTGATGAGTTAATATCATCATGATTTCCTTGATGCAGACAGGATTCTAGGCAATCTGGTGCCAGATTCTACCTGTCATTTAAGCAAAGGATTTCCAACTCATGAACCACCTTTTTTGTGGAAAGCACATCCCAATCCAGAGTAATTACTATGACCACTATTGATAGGATAGTCTTTATTTATTGATGAAAAACAACTTGTAGAGATTAAAGTTCAGCTTGTTTCATCTCATGAACCTTTAGCCTCTTGGTTCAGGACTTCTGTTGCATTGCCATGTGGCAGTTATAATTGGGTATCATAAGCATATTAATCACACCTCTTTCTGAACTTCCGCCAATTGTTTCTCAGAGGTGCTAAATATTAAAACAAAGAGCCCTGAATCCTGAGGAATTTTCACATCAGAGAACCCAAGGGTTTGAGTGCTTCTCCACTTTCCACTAATTTCATCATTCTCACACAAGAACTAAACCAGTGCGAAAAAGGGACACTGTCTACTATCTACTATCTAACTACTGTCCTTGCAAATAGCATATAAAATTATCATAGTGAATTGTATCAAATGGTATCTAGAAGTCTAATGGGGGGGGGGACACTTCCCTCATCTGTGTCCTGACTTATTGACTAGAGTGATTAGTACCATTAGTACCATTTCTATCCCATATTGAATTGTGACTGCAAAGGATCTAGAAAATGACTTCTACAGTAGAATCTTCTGTTACTGATTTTAAATTGCTTTCTGAATAACCTTCCCTAAAAAGGTAAGATTAGAAACTGGGTAAAGTTATCTAGAACATTTGGGTCCAAATATAACTTTTTCAACTTTTTCAAAAGAGAATGCATAATTACCTGCTGCTTTAGAATGGATGACATTATATCTTTTCTCAGGGAAATGTTAATTATCTTCTGAAATCACCTGGATGTCTTGCTTTGCTTCTTAAGGAGCTGGGAAGGGCATGAAACAAGCTGAATAATGGGGAAAGTCAAACTACCAAAACCCTTTTCTACTCCCTGGATTCTACAAGCCCATAGTATCATAGGAGGCACCACCTTGTTCACCATGCTGGATGTTGTCCAGCTGCCATCCAAGGTGGACTGAGCATAATAGTCTATCTGCAAAGAGGTTCACAAAACATGCAGTGCTTACACGGTGTTTGTTCCATCCATATTAGTAGTGTATAAAGGTTTTGAAAGTGTTCTTATGTAAATTAGTTAAGTACATTTGTTGGCGTTAATAGTATGCAGAAGATCGTATTTGGTTTTCAGTGGAAATTCTCTAAGCCTGTTTTTTTGCATTCCTTCTAGAGTGATACAAATAAGAACCCAGCTTCTCTTACTATAAAGAATGTCTCATCAAGTGACAGTGGCATACAGATTTACTGTATAGCAGAAAATACTGTGGGTGAAGACCAAGCTTCCGTCGACCTCACCGTGTTCTGTATGTAAATAACTTTATACAAAATTTTCATGCAGAAAATCGTAGCCTAATGAAAAAATTGGGAACTAACATTTTGGAATTTCCCAGAAAGAGAAATCATTTATAAAATATTTGCAAGAAGTAAATTAGGTTGAGAATTGTATCCTTTTCTTTTCTGATTCTTCTCAATGACTTATAGCCATAATTACTATGCCATCATACCAATGAAATTCTTCATCTGAATTTGCTATAGGATTCAGTGTATTTATTACTATTATTACATCAGTCATTAAGCAAGTGATATTGGTAAATGCCAGCAGTGGGGTAAATGCCATTAACAGACGATGTTCCAGTCAATCTTAAAATTATTTCTTATTCCATCCTCTAAAGTAGTCTGTTCTTAAAGGAGATGCACTTTCTAAGACTGTCTCTCACCAACTACTGAAATTTGCCAGTTCTTAGTGTTGATAGTAACCTTAGAAAAGGAATATGAAATGGAGGGACTAAATCAGGAGGCATCTGGTAGAGCAAATGCACAGCTGTCCTGATTCCCAGAGAAGCCCCCAAATCAATTCCCACCACCCACCAATGGTGTGGTAGTCAATAGAGGTGGTATGGGTCCTATTCTAGCAACTCGTCTCCTAGATAATTCATTTATTATTATACCCAAACAAAATTATTTTCAAATTCCATTCATTCTACCTTTCTACTTGTATCTTAGTTTTATTTGAACAAGCTGACTGATTGACAAAGAAGAGAATACATGAAAGACTCAGGGTTTTTTTCATTGTTATTATAGTTGCACCAAATATCACATTTCTTGAAATACCGTATTCGGACCATCACTGGTGCATTCCATTCAGTGTGAGGGGAAATCCACAACCTGTCTTGACATGGCTGCACGATGGGGCTAAACTGAATGAATCAGAATATATCTGGACCAAAATTCATGTTACCAATCGGACAGAATATCATGGCTGCCTCCAGCTGGACAATCCTACGCATGTCAACAATGGCAATTATACTTTGGTGGCACAGAATCAATATGGAAAAGATGAAGCCAACATCTCTGCTTATTTTATGGAAGATCCTGGAGGTAGTAAGTAATAATATAATTAGAACATTGTTGAAGCATTAAGTAGGTTTTTTTATATATAATTGTAGCATTAGGTGTAATAATGTCACTGAAAATTAAGCATTCATCTATTTACTTAGAAGAGTGAAGAAAATTTTAATCCCTTGTACTGTTAAGATAAAAGGTCAGATGATTAATATGCTAAAAAGCAAAAATATGCAAGTATAATATAATCTTCCTCTGAGTGAACAGCAATTAACTTTCTATGATAGCTTAAAGTATTTCTGCTTAGGATTTTTAGCCAATAATAGATTATTCTTATATGGTTAAATTCATAATAAAAGTAATATTTTCTTGTTTCCAATATTGCAGTACAAGATTAAAAGTATATTACTGCCACTGAAGGGAGCATTTTCCATCCATTTGCTTGCTTAACTTTTACTTTCTTTTTATCATCAGTCATCAGGGTCTACTTTTAGTAACTGATTAGATCAGATGGATATAGCATAATTTCCTCAATGTGAAATTACTTTTGAATAAAACCTTTTGAATAAAAACAATTAAGTCTTCTTTTCAGATATACTTAAAGCTAATTGCATTTCTTACCTGTGATTTTAATTAAATGTGATTTAAGTCATATCATCTTTCCTTTTTATCACTACTGCTAGCAGAATTATTAATTATAGGAAACTCTAAGAATGCTGGGATTTTTTTTTGTTTTTTCTGTGATGAATAGATCACATAAATGCAATCATAGTGGTGAAATGATCTATAAATTTGTAACACTATGGGGACACTTTAAAAGAAAAAAATGGTAAATTAATTGACTAGAGGTTGCCTGGCTATATGGTCTAAGGTGGCTGGGGCATGATGGGAGTTGTATTGTAATACATTTGGAGAAAACCAGCTTGGGGAAGGCTGAATAAGATTTTTTCTTCCCCTCAAGAAAAAAAAATGGCAGTACATAAAGGGAAAAGAAATAAAAGTGGATTGAATGTGGACAGAACTGAGAGAGTGTTAGAAGCCTTATTCTCTTTATCTTGCAACTTATAAGGGTATAGGGTTAGAGTAGTGCTTGATGCCTAATGCCAAAACTCTGTCCTGGTGAAGAAGACTAACCTAAATGATACATAAAATGTATTAATGGCTTTATTACTCCACTTAATATATCATTGACTTTAACAAAATCTCCTTGACTTCTGCACCTGGAATAGTTTATGCATGGAACGTAATTATGCCACCCATCTCCCCTGCAAGGTGACTATAATATCCCTAATAAGGAACTACAATAGATTAGTTCAAATTTTGCAAAGGTGTGCTCTCTGTTCCCTGCATTGTACTTTTCAAGCATAATAATGAATACTTTGACCTGGATCTTGTACAGACAAGGATGGCATCTTGGGATAGTTGTCAAATATTTGATATCCTGGAAATGTGCTTTGCAGATATATGATAGTTTGGGATTCAGAACAGAACAGAAAAACAAAATTGGAAGGGACCTTGGAGGTCTTCTAGTCCAACTCCCTGATCAAGCAGGAGACCCTATACCATTTCAGATAAATGGTTGTCCAGTTTCTCCTTAAACACCTCCAATGTTGGAGTACTCACAATTTCTGGAGGTTACTTATGGTTCTTAAGTACTTATGGTATAAGTAAATATCAGCTACTTATGATTTGCCTTAAAGGTATTCCCAGCAGTGTTCTGCACTGGATGCTTTAAATCATATTTCATCTTTTAATGTACGATATCTTCATTGCCCTACAAAGCAGCCCTATGAGACTTCCTGTACTGCAAAGTTTAGCTTAAAGTGGGGGAGAGAGTCCTGAATGGGATAGATAAACTTGTACCCAGTGTCCTCACTCCTGCAGGAATATGTTTTAACATGATAAATGTGCTGCTTCTTTCGGCTCTGACCTAAATTTAGTATGCCAGAAACTAAAATTCATTTTTTGCTATGTAGTTTGATTATCAGCATTTTAAAAGGACATTAGAATAAACAGTATTTGTCCATCTTTTCCCATTATGTAAATAAAGATAAATGTGAAAAGATAAAATCTGCTGTGATTACATTCAAAGTTTTTGTTGCTATTTAAGATGAATACAAATCATTCTTGGAATCGTAGCATGGCTATTGTTTCTTTGCATTGTCATTGTAAATTGTACATTCTGCACAATGAAACATGACAAGTAGACCCACACCCTGGTATTATATTCATTTCCATGCCTACGTGCTAGCATTAAATGTTACTGGATGTTTAATGAGCAGGAATATGCTCCTTGAGATTAGAATTGATTTTATGTCATCATAGAACTGACAAATACTTGAATAACAGTGTGATCTTATACTTGTATACTCAGAGGTCAGTTTCACTGAGTTTAGTGAGGCATATTCTCACTGAACCTTGAAAAGTATGTACAAAATTGCAGATTTAAAGGCTATAAGATAAATCTATCCACTTTTTAAGTGCAATTATCATAATCAAACTCAGAAGATCAGTTTTATCTCAAAGATGAAAACAGTCATAATGTGTGCTAAGATTCTGTACTGACAGAGACAGGTAATTAATTATTCTTAACGTTTGCTATGTAAATCTTTCAATAGGTATGCATAATATCTAGTAACAATGTTCTGTCTGTTAAAGTCTATTGTTGCATGTTACTATGACTAAGAAAATGGTTAGAACTATGCAGATATAACAATAGGACTATTAAGCAAATAAGAGCCTTTTATTGTCAGTGGTTTATGGGACGCAATAAACAATCTACAACCAGCCATTTTATTGTAAGTCCCTGGCCAAGAGGAAAATTGTACAATTAACCCTAAACAGAGAAGTGCAACATAGGAAGGGAATTCATTCCGTCCTTCTCCATTACTTGGGAAAAGAAATTAAGTGGGAAAAGAAATTAAGTGGGAAAAGAAATTAATTTCTAATTTCCCGTACTATTTCAGAACTTTCATATGCAAGTTTTTTTCAAGAAAGTATTGGCTTCATTTTGCTTTTTATATTTCAAACCATCTTTAGAATGTTCTAAAATTGCACTAGTTTTTCATATAAAACTATCAAATTTATGTTAGAGAATAATAATATGTTTCAAATGTAATTACATGTAATTTTTATTACTAATATTTAAACCAGTTAGACATAGAGACAGGTTCATTATCCAGATAATTTGTTAATATAAAATATGTACATAAAGCTGTACAGAAGAAATATTTTTTGGTCTGGGCACAAAATTTTGAGGTTAAGTTTGGCTTCTGTTCTTATTCAGAGCAGGCAGTAATATTTTTTTTTACTATTATGATTATTGAAATTGTTCCAAAAGTTTCTAAAATAAGGAATAGAGGATTAGAATACCAATTTACTTTTAAAGTAGGAGAGGAAAAAAGGTTTTTGAAACAAATGTGAAAAGTCAAACACTTGTTATATTCCTATGTTTTTGTTTTGTTTTGTTTTTAATTTGGCTTCTGTTGGCAAGTTCTGAGAATTTTAGTGATAGCTACAACTAACAATAAAATCACCCTTTTAAAAATTTGGAATAAGTCAAAAAGAGAAACGGAAAGATCATTTGGGCCTGGATTCCTCACTGGGATGTGTTTATTGTTGCCTTTGGGAACCTTCCCCAGCTCATGTCAGAGGACTAGCATACAGTGTATGTCAGTAAATGACAGAAACCTTCTAATGGCATTAGTGTGCCCTTGCCTTCATGTAATGGTTCCCCTATTTGAAAAAATGATACCATAACATGGTATCAGTTGCACCAAAAACTGAGTTCTCAAATTTCTGCTAAGTCTTGTAGACCCCTTCCTTTCCCAAGAAAGACAAGACACCATAAAAATAGTTATCAGAAGAAGTCAGTGTGCGTAAACTAAAGTCTTCCTTTCAGGCATTGAGTGGACCTCAGCCCCCCCCTTTTTTTCTGGAAAAGCTTGTAGGGCCTTGCCCTTTGAAGCTCAAGACCAGGTGGGACAGGTCTTACAGGTAGGCACTTTAGTGTCTCATGAGTAAGCTCACAGAGCTCTTCCTCCACAGAGCAATACGTGGAATGCTGGTTTCCAACCCCAGATGAGACAGAACTTACAGGTAGGCAACCCAGAGTCTCCTAAGCAAGCTCATGTGAGAATTCCTCATAGGCACATAACATATATTATGGTATGCATTTATTTTCTCTAGTGATTAGTAAAATGATCAAGAAATAATTAAAAGAGTACAAATAAAAAGGATGCCACCTGCATGAGTTGAAACGGGTGCAAAGTAGGGGTGAATACAAAGCAAGAAATTGTGTTCTTGGCTCAGAAACAAACAGTCCCACTCAGAACATATCTCTTAAGGATATTTGAGTGGATCGTCTTCTGACAAACAGAAATTGAAATATTTCAAGTGTTTTGCCATCTGAACAATCTGAACCCTTTTACTCCCTCGTTTAGTGTCTTAGGTGGCATAGTAGTCTGCGTACAACCTGATGTACAGAAAAAAAATGATCAAAGAAATGATTTTTAATTTTTTCTTCAACATTATAACAATTTCCAATGCAAATTGTGTAAGCAACAGTTGTTTCAATGCCTTCTGTTGCCAGTGCTTGCACAACAGCCACAGAACTGATCTCAGCAAAAGAGTGGCACCAGTAGATGAATTTCAGCACAACCCATTTATCATGTTGTAACAGCAAAATATATGTTTTTTTCTTACATAATATTTTTGTAAAGCTCCACATAAAACTAAAGCAACATAGTGCTCGCATTTGGCAGTGTGAAAGCTGAAAAGCAGAACAATATTATCTGTACAACATATACATGAGGCAGATTTCTACACTTGGCAGTGTGCCTAAAAAAGAAAACATAACAAATTACACATTGGGCAGCTACATAACTTAAAACTCAACTTCAATTTCTTCACAGCAAAGAATGTAAAACAATAGGAAATTTAGCTATGGGGAAATGAGAAGTCTTTTTTTTTCTATGTCTAGTTGGTTGACCTTTCCAAATGTCCTCAGTTGAACAGCACATAACATTAGAGGCAGTATACACTATGTAAGTTGGGTGAATTAGCGATGGGGCCTAGCCACATCATCAGTGCCAATTAATGAATGTTTTGATAAACTGTAAGTGCCTGGTGATAGTCTGGAGGGTGAGGGTAGGGTTTGATATTCAATCACCCTCTTTTGGGTAGTTGGAAAGTCCAATAACCAATATGTACATGTATCAGGAAAATGATATGCACTGTGTACCAACATGTTACAATAATTTAATTGAATTCTCCTCAAATAAAGAACTACTTCTTATTTGGGAGCTGTTTGGAGGAATAGAGGGAACTAGATGTGGAAGTATAATTAAAGGTAAATGAAAAACACAAGAGGGAGAGGAATCTCTCTCATACTTTTTTCCTTTCCTCTTAACCTCTTGCTTAACTAATTACTTAACCTACATAGTATTATTAACTTTAGAGCATAAGACGGAAGAACAATTGTCTAGGCATGCAACAATATATTCACCTATAAATTTCAATCTCAAAAATCTGACTACAGTCTTTAACTTCTCTCTCCATTCCAGGAGCAACATTCCAAAATGGCTTCAAATCTTTTGAGCATGTGACTTTCACTCTATCTTAACCTCTCCTTAAGTAGCTGTGCCTATTATTTTATTATTATGCACTTTCCAAGTCTATATATATGTTAAGGAATTTAAAAACAAAAACAACCCAAATGTGATATGTTGGAACATTCAAAATTTTTCCAAGCTCTGAACAAAGCACTAGAATATGGTGTGGCTTTTTTTCAGAACTTGGAGTGTTCCAAGCTAGGATACATCTCTAATGCAAACACATTACATGTTTGGATTTATTTGTTCATCAGATAATTGGGAGTGCAGTGGGGAGGGGAGACAGTCTTATTAAATTAGGCTAATCTTGTAACAGTAACATTATAAAAGAAAATTGTCTTTGTTGATCTTTAGTAAAAAGTGTATTTTTTCTTGATGTTGATTTATGGACTGAAAATCTTTTATTTTCAAGATTAACACTTAAATTTCTACAGCAGATTTCAAATGAATGACCTTTTTTAAAAAAAAAAGTGTAATGTATGACACATGTTTAGTATCACAACCTTCCCTAACATGGTATCTTCCTAAATATATTGTACTGTAGCTGTCAGATTTTATTAATTGTGAATTATGGAAATTGTATTGCAACATACATGGAAGGAACTAAGTAAGGGAAGTCTGCATTAAGGATTGGAGTGGAACTATTCAGACTATTGTATTATTTTCTTTCTTTCAGAAAATATTGTTTCATAATTATAGATATAAATGATCCCAATTAAAATCTGAATTCTAATTTTATGAACATTGTTGAATTAGTATATTATCAAAGTGAAATACAATTGTGCCAAACAATGGAGTAAATCTTTTCTCTATACTACAGTCATCCTTCATGCACTCAGTTCCATCCTGGAGAACAGGATGTCATTCCAGATCTGAGGTCATGCAAAGGCTGCAGTAAGAAGAAGTAATGCTATGTATAAAAGGGATCACTTTTGATTTGGAATTTTGCTCCCATGGCCAGGAAATTTTAGAATTAATCATTTGCTTCTGGCAATGGTAAGGTCAGTGCTACATTAAATATAAAGTAAATGTAAATGTGATGCAATTACACATGTTGTTTCGCTATGATATATTTCTTTTTCTTTCTGTTCTATAGGTAGTCCGTTCTATGATCATCCTGGTTACATTGGTATATTTTCCTTTTCTATTATACATATATATATATATGTAGATATATATAAACATGTAGTAATTAAATGTTTGAAAGAGAAGATAGATATTATACTCCGATATGATTTGCATGCTGTTTAAATATCACTAGAAATGTTTATGATGGGCATGATTCAGCCACGGTTAACATTTTTAGTGTCAATACTTTGAACTTTGGAAATGTTGACATATACTTAATTCTTTCATTAAAAATGATGTGCTATCCTGCTGACTTTTCTAAATCAGAATAATTTTACGAATGAAGGTGAATACATGTGTCCCAGGATAATGTTGCAGGATCCAATAATTTTCCTCATCATATTCATTTAAAATGTCATGTCATAACCAGTAGTTCACTTCTGAATCTTTGGCAGAAGATATGATTATGCAATAATAATAAATTCATTGTGATACAATAGTAAAAAAAATCCCCATTCCAGTTTCTTAGGTCTTCATAGAAAGATTATGCAATTTTTAAATTTCTTTATATTTTGATCAATCTTGACAATGTCTCTTGTTTTACTTTTGAGATCTTAGTGCCTCTCATTCTAAAGAGAAAACATATTGAATTAATATGAGATAATCCATTTTTATTTGTTGTTACTAATTTCAGTTCACAATGTGGAACAAAAGTTGTACAATGTGATATATCCAGTGTTATTGATAAATCAGAAATTAGTTTATTTCTCAGAGTTTAAATTTCAAGGTGCTTTGAATTTTCAGCTTTTTATACAAATTTTGTCTGCTAACTTTATCATAATTTCCTATATATAAAGAAAGTTAAGGCTTCAATCCTATACATATCTATCTGTAAGTAGGGCTTTTTAAAGATATGGAGTAAACTTCACTGCCTGAGAAATGGCAGGAATATCTAAGCTAATGGAATTGTTATTTTAAAGAACACTAAATAGTTCTCAATTAGCTTTGGAATCCATAATTTTATTTGCTTGATTTGTGAGATACAGACTTAATTGACACATCATTGGACTGGGACTGTTTCATAAGATCAATAAACTATTTTTTTTCTCACATGCTCAAATACTAATAATATGTAGGACTCGCATACTAATTAAAATTATTTACAATGCAGTGATATTTAAAATTCTATATTTTTGTATAATTGCATTCATCCTTGAAAGTCCATCTTAAACAATGTTTCTATACACCCTTGTATCTGCTGCCAAAGTAGGAAAGCTGCCCAATCCTGATAAATAAATCGATATTTTTAATTGTGAATCAGTCAGCATAAATGTTAAAGGAATATGGCTTTATTCCATATCATTAAAATTGTATATATTGAATTATAAATGATTCATGGAAAGATTAAAAAGTTATAAACAAAAGGAATAGACAACAAAACTACTGTAATATGGAACTCTTTCTGTTCCGGATTTCAGCCATGCATTCTTTTCTCCCTATTCTCTATCTTCATTTCTTACCCCCTTCTCCACCCCTTTAATATTAGTTAGCATTCCAGGGCCATTGAATAAAGGACCATACGTTGTTTTGCTTCCTCCCTGTCTTTCCTTAGTGCTAAAATCAATTTGTTCTATAATATTGTTGGAAAGTGATGGATACCAATAGAAATTGTGCTTTCTAACAGAAAATAGCCCTCATCTGAAATAGATTTTAGTAAGACCTTTAATATATCCTCCCCAATTAAGCCTAGCAGCACTGCATTTATATCAACCATTGCTCTCTCTTACAATTATCTTCATAGCACAGCATCAGAAAATCCCTTTTCCCCCTTGGCTGGGTGCATTTTGCAATCATCACACAATGGAGTTGTGGTGGCACTAGGTATGTGAAGGGATCTCGTGCATATTGGACTCCCTAGACAACAAATGTTGGACAAATCCAGGAAACAGTTGCATTTTCTTTCCTCCCGTGAAGCAACTGAATATATTTTTTACTCTAGTGGAATGTAAATTTGACCAATAAGTAATTATCCTTTAAGATGGCAAAACTTCATTAAATTCAGTGCTAGAATTCTAATTTAAATAAGAGAAAACAAAATATACACTGTTTTGGTTCTTTAGCTCTGAACCTTTATGGTTTTAAATATTTTAACAGCCCAGGAAATGTCATATTTGGGGCAGTTTATAAGTTCCTTTAATGATTAAAATAGATTATAGAAGCAATGCACATTAAAATACTGTTCAAGATTTTATATTTCTATATACTTGGTATTTTTATATTATTTAGTATGGTGAAACATGTTTTCAGATTGTTTATACAAAAATTAGAAAAGACTTAAACTGAAATCTAAAGTTCTCATCTTAGAAGAGGAGAGGAAAAGGGAGAGTGGTTGGGTTTATAGAGGGCTAATATCACACTTAATCCTGATTTAGATAGCAGTTCAGTTAGTTTCACCGACTTCTTTTTCTTCCTCCTTCCCACCCTCTCCCCAGGCTGTCAAATGTAATATTAAAATAATTGCCAGCAACACAAATCAACTTGCTAAAAGATAAATGATAGGGAAGAAGATATTTCAGAAAAGTCAAAACGTTTTATATAGTTTGGGAAAAGAATGACATTACTTAAAGTGATTCTCTAATAATAAGACAAAGAATCTGTACGAGTAAAATTATTATTTTTGCTTGCTCAATTTCTAGTCTTAGATCTGGAAACATCATTCTCTCCCACCCCAAAAGTCATTAAAATTATATAAAAGAATGAATTCAAGCTGTATAATTTTCAATGCATTAACAGAAAACATTTTGCACCACTTGATACAACGGGAAACTAAATATTCCTTTAAATGTTTATATAATTGCACCGAACATTATGATTATTTATTTTTAGTTTTCAAAATTGACTCAATCCATATGATCAGATATTTCTGTTTGCCCTTTATATTTTAGGTTCGTATAAAGTAATGTAACCATTTCCTACTTGTGCCATTCATTTATAACTCCTGTAATTTCTAAGAAGACACTTATTTGGAGAAAACCTATATACAAGTAGTTGTTGACTTACAACAGTTCGTTTAGTGACTGTTCAAAGTTACAATGGCACTGAAAAAAGTGACATGACCATTTTTCACACTTATGACCAATGCAGCTTCCCTATAATCATGTGATCAAAATTCAGGACTCACATTTATGACGGTTGCAGTGTCCCGGGGTCAAGTGATCACCTTTTGCCACCTTCTGACTAGCAAAGTCAATGGGGAAGCCAGATTCACTTAACAACTATGTTACTAACTTAACTGCTGCAGTGATTCAGTTAACAAATGTAGCAAGAAGAGTCGTAAAAATGGGGCAAAACTCACAACAAATTTCTCACTTAGCAACATAGGTTTTGGGCTGTATTAAGAAATGATAAAGAATGGAAGTTTGATGTGACAATAACCTCACTCTTGCTTTTGAATTTTATGACTTTCTTGAATCTTGAGAGGAATTGTGCTTGCTAATTAAGCCTGTCAGGAATACACTCTGCAAGTGGCTTTAACTGTGTTTGCATTTTTAAATTTTAAAATACATATAGGTCATGGGCTAAATTTCTGACTACTAGGTTTGGAAGGCTAGGCTGAAGGCCTTTTCCTTTTTAAAAGGAACTTCTCACCAATCTCCACTCTTAAAAAAAATCTGGTGTAGTCAGATAGGGCCGCCTGTCTAACACCTTCAGGAGCAGATTGACTTAAAAAAAAACAACCTAGTAGAGTCGATACTGGAAACCAATCCTTCTCTCCCCCTCCTCCATTTTAACACTTGGGAATCTTTACTACCAAGTAAAATTCTCCAAAATGCAAATATTGCTTTGCAGAAATAAGCCTGCAATGGCCAACAGATCTGTATAGACTCAATACATCTGGAGTCACCAGACTAGAGAAGGTTGATTTATTCTCTATACCAAGGGTCTTCAAACTTGGCCCTTTTATGACTTGTGGACTTCAACTCCCAGAATTCCTCAGCCAGCATGGCTGGCTGAGGAATTCTGGGAGTAGAAGTCCACAATTCGTAAAAGGGCCAAGTTTGAAGACCCCTGCTCTACACTGAGGGAAGAGCTAAGAAATGTTTTGTTTGGAAGATCTGTACTTTGCATGGGCCATACACTACAATCTTCTCAACTACTTGATATCCAAGTCACATCACAGAATTACAGTGAATTTTGAAGGAATCAAAACCATTCCTATTTTGATTGGATTAAATAATTAATCCTGACCTTAAATAGTTAGCATTTCTCAAAAGGCAGCATTATTCCTCACAATATTGCTATTCTGGCCCACCTAACACCAGGGAGAGACCAATCTGTGAATTTTGTTTCTCTCACGTTCTCATTTATGCAGTCTTAATTTTATTTCATCACATTTCTATATCAGTTAAAGACATTTAGAAGAAAATTAATGGGGAAATTATTGAAGAGCTTTTCAAAAAAATTATTCTTTTGTCCTTTCAGATTCCTACACGAATTAAATTGTTTTCCTATTGCATGGTATGTTAGCTGGAAGTTAGTTTTTTTGCCGGTTTGGAATGTTTCTGCATTGTGCAATAATTTAATTTTTATTGTATTAATAGATTTTATTATATCCCATCTTAAACATTCCCAGATTTACTACATTAAAAATACTCCCACAACTTTTAAAATCTTTGCATTTTGTTTGAAAATAGGTTCCTTTTTCAGATTTAAAAATATACACAGAACCCACAAACAATAGCAGGTCAGAAGCAGCAGAAAAAGCTAGGGAATTTCAGTTGTCTCAGGCAATCATGAATATTTCCACAGTTTTCTACAGGTATCTCCATTTTGTCTAGTATTCTGTCTCATAGTATATATGAGTGTAGCTTCTCTCCCTCCCTCTAAATATCTCCACATCTCTTCCGTTATTTCCCATAATCTTCATTCTGACTTCCATGCACCTACAGTCCTAAACAAGTCATATAGCAACGTGGAAAATAAGCAGATAGAATTGAACAGTGTGTTCCAAGATCTTTGCAAATTTTAATCGTATGCGTTTAGCTTTTTTAGCAGACACAAACAAAAAAACTTTACAATACTGAAAGAAAATAAATATGTTCTTTCTCTTAGAAGATTATGGAACACCAACAAATGATTTTGAAGACACTACAAATAATAGTAATCAAGTTACTTCTACGGATGTGTCAAACAAAGACAATGAAGATAGCATCACTGTAAGTATAAACATCATTTCCTGGTTTGTAATCACAATAGACTTTCTGAGTAAGAATCTAGTTGGCCTAGGATATTTTAGCTTGCAACAAGACACTATTTTGCATGTACCCTGGAGCTTTTAGCTGTCGTTTTGTAACGTGAAGGCAATTTTTTAAGGACAAGCTGATCAAATTTAGACATAGCATTATTTACATAATTTGATTCATGCATTTCAGCTGATACTAAGAAATGATGGCTCCCAAGCCACAAGAATGTAGCTTTCATTTACACTTTGAACTTGTTTTCTTTAGCATGTAAAATAAAGCATAATGCTAACTGAAAGGCTGCAGTGCACCCTGAAATAATTGAAATGACCAAAAGGTTGGCACATCATAGTTTAAAATCATGTTCACATTTCGTTCATTTAATTTTCTGCAGCATTGTGTCTTTCTCCTGAGCTTGGATTACGGTCTCCAGATGTCTATCCTTTGATTTTACTAGTAAGCTCGGAGTTCTGGTGCTTGTAGTCCAAGCACATTTAGAAGATGCCAAGTTAGAGGAGCTATGTAAAGTTCTAGTCCTGCCTTAGGCACAATGATAGCAGGATGTCCTTGGGCCAGTCACTTTCTCTCATCCCTAGAAGGGAGGCAATGGCAAAACAATTCTGAAAAATTTTGCCAAGAAAACTGCAGGGACTTGTCCGGGCAGCCTCTGATAATCAGACATGATTGAATGGAAGAAACCCCCTCCACACACCCATACTATATGTTTAAGAATGTTGCCAGTATATTATATTAATATTAATAGCAAATAATCTAATTAATATTATTAGAATAGTGAAACTTGAAAAAATTGTGCAGTTTGATTTATTGTTGCTTGTTTTATTCTTAGGTGTATGTTGTAGTGGGGATTGCTGCACTGGTGTGCACTGGCTTAGTTATTATGCTCATTATTCTCAAGTTTGGAAGACACTCTAAGTTTGGAATGAAAGGTAAGATGACTGCTTTTAATTCTTCTTTCCATACGTTTCTCTGCTGACTGTTTTATAGTTATTTAGACAATAACAGGTATACACTTCAGTTCTCTTATTCAAACAGTTATTCAAATTGTTTAAATATGTATAGGTAGCATATTTCTGTTGTACCGTTTCTGTTGAATTCAGTGATTTTTAGTAGATTGATGTATGGGATTGGTTCTGACAGAAATTAATTTACGTGCAATGTAGGTTCCACCTCACTTGATATATATTAATATATTTTGCAAGAAATATTACAGTTATTTTATTTTTGAAGAACTTTTCATATGAAGTCTGGGGATTTCAGATCGGACCTTGCCTTAACATTTCTTCAACACCTCCCCTTCTTCAATATATTTTCCTCACTGACCAACCAGAGGACCTGGCACTGACCATGTTTCTTCTCCTTGCGTTAACCAGCATTGCTTTTTATCCATGGATCCTTAAGATAAGGGCATGAAGTCCTATCATCAGTTCTAAATGACTATAATTCTGATATGATTACATTCCTCCAAAAAAGTAGGTACTGTTTATTCCTAAAATAGACTTAATTGCTATGTAAGGAAGTAGAATACAGAGTTGGAAGGGACCTTATAGGTCATCTAGTCCAACCCCCCACCCAACCCCCTGCCTAGTACTCCCACTGTAAAAGAACCAGTGTAAGTAAAGATAGGGAAGTAGCATCTATTTATATGCAAAGAATATACATGAATCTGTTTTAGGTCCTTCTTTCACCAGTTTTCTTATCATAATGAGGTGTTTTGCCTGACTTTTATGTAAAGTGAGTTATAGATAAAAAAAAAGAAAAGAAAAAAAAGCATTTTTATTCTCAAGGCTGCAATGAGATTCAAACATTCCTGTGGTGATAAAATCAGCTGAAAATCTACATTGTTGTTCATGCAAGTTCTTTACTTAAAATGGTTGTACCCAGAAGCAGAGCAGCAGTGCCTGCATGATAGATGGTCCAGTGAAAATTGGCTTTAATCCATGAACTAGAGAAGAAATTACTAAGGGAAGAGGGTGCAGAGAACAGAACAGAATAGAACAGAATAACAGAGTTGGAAGGGACCTTGGAGGTCTTCTAGTCCAACCTATACCATTTTAGATTTTAGACATCACTTCTAAAGTCAAGGTTTTCACTTAGTCAGTCAGTGGATCTTAAACTGGGGTATATTCTGGAGTAATTGCTAATTTTTAAATCGAGGACCCAATTTGGGACTGGCATTGCTAAGATGCTTGTGAAAACAATAAAGTTGGGGTTTTTTTTCTGTGTTAATGGCATTATTCAAGTCCAGGAAAAAAGGTATTTGCCTGAAACAGTTTAAAAACTACTGTTCTATGTAATTAGTATTCTTTCAGGAATCTGTAAGGATATACTATATGTAGTAAAACTGTATTTGTGCTTGTTGAAGTTAACAACATAATACTACATCTAGAAAGATATACAGTACAGTATTTTGTCCATCAAGCAGATGTAGGCTAACAAACTATTAAAGGTTAAATATTCTAAATGTTAAATATTCTGATGCAAAAATGGCATTTTGCAGAGCATAGAATCCTACTCCTTTTTCATTTTTCTTCATGGCTGATTCCTTTCCCTTCAATGCTTCGGTTTCATTTCACACCATGTCATTTTTTAGCCCATTGTGGTTACTTTGAATAAATAAAAAGAGAAATAGGGGTTTGAGTGGATGTTTCAGAAGGCAGGCTGTTGATTAGCATGTCACCTGAGCACATTCCCATTCTGTGTCTTTTTATAAATGTTCCTTGACACTCTCTGTCTCTCTGTCTCTCTGTCCCCCCCATACACACACACACACACACACAAACACATATTGCAAGTATATTTATTTGCATAGGGACGGGATCTTGGTCTCAGTGAATATGGAATTGTATGTGTGTATACATATATTTTCTTATATACATATTCTTAGAACTTTATGTTTGAAAAACAGATGGAAATGGGTGAGTGAATTGTGTCTTTTTCTTAATAAAAATGATTACGCATTTCCATCTATACTGCTTTCATTTCCACATTTTCAGTAAGCAAGGTTATAATTAAGCCTTTGCCATTGTTTCAGAAGGATTTTGAATGTGTGGGAACACATAAAAAAGGGTCTTTTCAGATCCTTAAAGCATCCCTATCTTTTTCCCAGGCTTGAATGGCTGTTTGTGAAGTTGCTTTGGAGCAGTTTTCAGAACAGCCTCATGATCCTGGAAGAAGACATGGCTGCTTTAACAATATGAAAAGAGGAGCTTGCTTAAGGTGACCAACTTTTTTACAATGAAAAGGAGGACACAAATAAATTGAAGAAAAAAATATTGTAAATAAAAACATTTTATTCATTGCAACAATAATACAGACAACTTGCATGTGCAAAGTTTGCCAGCCGGGTGTTTTGGCGCGCTCAGCAGCAATTCCTATTGGCTTTCAAAAGCCAATAGCGGGAGTAGCACAGCTCATGCAAAAGTTGAAAAAAAAACATCAAAAAAAGGTGCCAGAACGCCGTTCTGAGCTTTCTATGAGAAACAAAAGCCCTGCAGATTAGTCTCCAAATATCAAAAAGGAGGACATGTAGGAGGACACTTTTCAAGGGAGGACAGAACTTACAAAAGGAGGACTGTCCTCCCTAAAGGAGGACGGTTGGTCACCTTATGCTTGGTATATGCGCTCACTTATTCCAAAGCACCTTTTACCAAGGAATTGAACAGCTCTAGTTATACAATCATATTTATTAGGTTATATGTAATAGTTTTTTTTTAGGGTTTTCTCTGATTTGAATATAAAAATATAAAGGAAAAACATTCCTACAGCTTAATATAAACTCCTATTCTTTAGATAAAGATTTTTGTATGTCATGATTCCCTTTTTTTGTCTAATTCTAAGGTCAGTACAAGTCAGAGGTGATAATAGTTACATAGAAGGAAAAGATTTTTTAAGAAGTTGTATTTCCCAGATTTTCTATTTTCTATTTCTTAATTAGTTTTAAAAAATGACTGAAAATAAAATTTCTCTCTCCCTCTCGAATGTAATTTAGAAATGTTTTATCCTATGTTTATAGTTTTAAAGTTTTAAAAAATATGGGTTATATATTACTACACCATATGCATTAATGTATGATGATGATGATGATGATGAAGAAGAAAGTGTTTCAAGTTAACAAAAATGTAGAGTTGTGGGTTAATTTATAAGAAAGACACGTTATCTAGTTTGGGAATATTTATTTCTTGTTCAGGGTGTAAAACCTATTTAAGATAAACTTTTTAGAAAATAGAAGATACATACATTTAATTCTTCAAATGTCTAATCTTGGCATCAGAATGACTGGGAATGGTTTTTATGTGTAGGAACACCACATTTGTTTACATAATATGATGGAACCGGTGCTTCCCAGATGTATCAGTACTACAATAACCAAACTTCAAATTCAAATACAAGTTGAGATGCTTGTTCATGCTCATTGTAGACATGTTGGTGTTGGCTTTCAAGTGAAATAAATGTGCAAATATTTTTAGGATTTTCCAGACCTTAAAAATAGGTTAAAAATAGCATTATACTTTTCAGCATTATCTTATACTCTTTGATGCCATAATAAATGGTAGAAAGTACACAATTTCCATGTTCTGTTTTATTCACTTCATTTCAGAAATTGAGTTTATCTCTGCAGAGAAAAAAACACCAAAAGTAGCATACATGTACAGAGATTAGGGACTCTTCATTACCCCAAATTAGAGATTCTTTCTTAGGAAGTTTTGCTAATAAATGTATTAGGAACACTCTTGATTTAATACAGAATTCCAAATTCTGCATTAGAAGCTTAGTATGTATTTCAGCTTCAAAAAAATTCCACGAGGATCAGGGAAACAGCAGTTTCTCAAAAAAGAAAGGGGGAGGGGGCTAAGAGAACACTAAATGAAAAATGTGGAGATTTTACACAAAAAAAGAGCAAAAGCAATCATAACTGGCATTTCTTTGCCTCTTTTGGTATCTTCTATTTCAGGGAAACAGGAAGAGAAGGGAAGAAAATTATTTTTCTAAAAGGTAATCATTGCTACAGCAAAGTGCTGGAATGCTGTTTTAAATAATAATTTGATCAATGTCATAACACAGATTTTTTTTACCAAGAAATGTAAAAAAAGATACAGTAAAGATACATTTACTAGTATTTGTCTCCAATGAAAAACATATATATTTTTTCAGAAACCATAGCTATTATTGAATTGAATTCAAAACACAAAAGTATTTTCATTATTTTAATTGTACACAGCTAAGTAATTGGTATTCATTTCTAGCTGCATTCTGTGTTATACTTCAAAATATTTTTTGCTTTCTAACTGTTGCAAAGAGAGCCGTGATTCATTAAGAGAAGTTACAGTACAAGCTAGTAGTTTCATATTACTATAGGAAGGCAGGAATTGAACACCACGTATAGTAAGAAATACTCACTGCTGTCAATAGCAATACATTCTCCTTAGAGCAGAGGTTAAATGAATATGGACAGCCTCTATTTATTAAAATATTGATGATGTACCAATGAGTCAGTCATAATGTTTTTTCTGGATGGTAGAGAAAATGCTAAGTCTTTTACCCAATTACTTTTAATGCCGTGCTACATTTATACTATCTTGCATTCCATAATAATCCCATAACACAGTAAAAGTTTCCGTCCCCTATGAAAGCAAGTTTTAATCCTTCACGTGCTATCATTCCATTGAATAACACTGCTTGGTGGGCATCATACATATTTCCTTTCTAATATGGATACCAGTGGCCTATCTTAGATGCGTACGCATGCACACACTTACGCATGTTCATTTGCAAAGGCTTTTACTCAGTGTAACTATAAGTAGTGGCAGGCAAGATGTGTATGCAGTTGCATGCATAGTTTTGAACAGTCCCAACTCTAAAAATTTCTCTGTAAGGAAGTTTTCAATAACTAGGTCTGAAGCAATTGGCAGAAGCATTTTAGGGGTAT